AAATAATATATGTATACTTTTTCATTGTTTACTCAAGTGATTTTTGTTATCATTAATTTCGTTTATTCGTTTTTAAGTTTCTTCTTTTATAAGATGAGACTGTCATTCAATATAGAGAAAGTGCTGATATCATAAAGTTGTACTATTAAATGCTTTTAAGAATTCATTTCTATGAAAAATTAAAATACTACATTGATATTTTTCATTAATTTTACCTTTTCGTGATTTTTAATGGACTGGAAACTTCAAAGTCAACGATTAGTTCATTACTAGTATGGATGATATTATTAAAAAAGTTATTTGGTGGAGTAAGTAAAGTGATTTGCAGTGAAGTGGGGATTTCACCTCAATTGAACTTTTATAAGTATGAGTTGTCAATTTAAATGAATATCTTTTGTGCTTTGTTTGTTTTGAAGTATTAGAAATGTATTATTATAGCTAATTTCACTTCTTTGCGCTTCAAAAGGGACAAACAAAATCCGAATTTAATTTTTCCATATAAAAAATAAATTCGGATTTTCAATTTCTATTCAAGTGGATGAAAGTATATGTATGTAAGTATATATAATTCAGACGCATTAATTAATAAGTTTATTTATTATTATAAGAAGTTCTTTTCGATGCACTCAAATTAAAAAAAAAATTATAAAATCTCTTTAATTTGTAAAGTAATTTACAAATTTTATAAATTTATTAATTATTAAATTTTCAAGCAATTGAGCGTTTAAATTCAATACCTTTCACGACGATATTACTATCGTAAACTATCGATGTTTTCAACTATCGTTTCGAAAACTATCGAGTGGCGGTACTATCGATAGTATCCCAGCTCCAGCAAAATCTTAAAATGTCTTGTAATAAATTTGAGCAAATTTTTGCGTTAGCCATAACAAAGCGATTTGTTGTTTAAAGAAAAGTACTCGTTTTTGAGGAATATAAGCAGCGTTGCCGCTTTGGTAATTTTTTACCAACGCTGGTAATTTTTTTCTTTTTAGAACGAGTTTGGTAATTTGGTAATTTTTTTTTCAATTTGGTAATTTTTTTCAACGTAAGTCTTTTCTTTTAAGTTTTTAATACTAGCTTATTACTTATAAAAATTTATAACTTTTAACCTTCTTACAATTGCACAAAACAAAAAAATTTGCTTATGTACTTACATATATGTATGTGTCTACACCTTAATAATAATAATAATAATAATAGATTGGCACTTACAACATCAAGGCGCACGCCACAAAACGGAGGAGAAGCTTGGCCAAACACTAATATATGTGTAAGAAATAAAGGGCAAAGGGCATCCTTTGTTTTGACAAAAAATTGTAAAGTACAAGGGGTTAAAATAAATGAATAAATAAATAAAGGACGGATGGTCACCGTGCCTATGCTGTATGTTTTTTCCAGCGGAAGCAATTTTATGTGAAGTCGGTTTGTACGTGATATTTTCGATAAATTAATTACAGTCTCGGCAAAAGAGTTAAAACTTTAACCCCCCTTAAAAAAAAGACTAGTACTGTATTCGGCAAAGTTTGTTTGGGAGACATTCTCTTTCATAATTTATAGCTTTTGTTCTTTTTGTGTTACATTTTTGTAAAATTGTTAGACTGTATTGTTAGTAATACATAAACTGGGAGTTATTTCAACCGATTGCACATGTATAGAGGGATATTAAAACCTAATTTCAATAAAGTCTGTTGGTAACAGATCACAAGGAAAATGCACACGAAATAAGATAGCCGTGCGCGATTAACTGACCTTGTGACCTTGTATGCACAAGACAAATCCAGCATCAATTAATTAAATAAAATTAAAAGTTAATGGTTTGTAACCAGATTTCATTTAATCAAATTAACTAATTAATTCATTTAATCAAATTAACTAATTGATTAAAAATATCAATCTATTGGTAACAACACTGAGATGATACAATTTTTAATTTAAGCAAAAAAAAACAACCTTAGCTTTGACCGATCAGCTTTTTTCTACTGAAACGGTATTTTATTGCCGTTACCTAAGGAGTAAAATCTTTGGTACTTAAGCATTTGTGTGTATGCAACTGCATGCGAATTAATTAGAAATGCATTAACGCTGTACACTTGCATTCATTGTGTCACTTTTCATTCTCGTTTCGTAACTTTAACAATTACAATGAATTGCTGATTCTAAAAGGCGAGAGTTCGCAAAGTTAACAGCTGCTTAACCTACTGCATTTGAATTTACTATTCACCCGCTACTTACATTAGCATTACTCAGTACAATAGTAGCCACTTGTGATGGTTGTATTGTCTGCCAGATATGGCACCTCGCGAAACCGATTGCGTAGCAAGGGGCCAGAAAAATCGTAGTAAAAAATAAAAAATCGTAGTAAAAAATAAAAAATCGTAGCAAAGATAAAAATTGGTTATTATTTTAAATTCATATGCATATTTAATGTTTTAAAACATAAACATAACATTTAAATTTTAATAACATTTGTACTCTTTTAAGTATTGCATTATATTTGATTGATCTACAGTGGCGTTTTCCAAATACCGAACTTATAGAACTTAAAACATTTTGTCACCTACCCCAGCACTATCGTCATATATAAGTTAAAACTTGCTTTATTTGAGAATATCGGTAGTTTGATTTCTATGGAATATTGCGATGAGGCGAACTTAACCTTTCGCCTCTGTTGAGCCGCTTTTTGTCTGTGGCGATGAATCCATCGTGGAAGTAGTAGCTCGTCACGCAGTCATTGTTACCTCTTTGCGCAACTTCGTATCCCTCTCGCACATGAATCTTTCTGTCTGTTATGCAAAAATTTCACCGGTGGTGCTTATTTATGTTGCAGATGTTTTTGGTCAAACGCTTCCAGCACAACTTGCACATAAGAGGGTGGATTTAGATCTTAAAGCCATGGCCTGTTTACCACATTTTTGAAGTTATAGCGATTTACAAATAGTTGCTGCTCATAGGTTGAATGACATATAAAAAGCGTAGTAAAAATAGAATAAAGCATAGTGGTGTAGCAATTTTTAGAATTTTTGAAAAGTCGTATCAAATTTACTACGATCGTAGGAAAGTTCCAACGCTGTTGTCTGCTTACTCTTAACTGCATAGACGGTGAGTTTGGATTTTTTCCATCTTGCACTTACAGATGACAAAGTGTGGTATGTATACAGGTGTCCAGGTGTATGCAAATGCGAGCACTTTTCATTGACATATGTTTTTTTATGTATGTGCATATATTGCTGCAATTATCCGTGGCGGCAACTCTGACAAAGTTAATTTATGCGTAAGTACTAGGTATTAAATTATGCGGTGGTGGCTTACACTGTCACTACTACATATACAATATACTTACGAAATACCAAACGGTAGTACAAGACAAGGAGTTTTAGTTCGGATTGAAGTTCCACTCTACGGGGGTTAGACTATCGTTGTGTTCTCCTTGTTGAAAAATAATAAAACCTACTAAGAAGTACGTATGGATATACGATAAAAATCCCCTAAGGGGATGGAAAACACCCGGAACAAAATTTGGTGTAGGTTGTAGGTAGGGTCTAGTACAACATGAAAATAGTTTTCTAAATGAGCTCACATTCGGTAAATACAACTTTCGCACCTGCTAATTTTCACTCGGAATTTTCCAAGTATAATACTCAGGGCTTCGGAACAAAGGTTTTTTTCATCGCTCCGCTCTAGCACCGTTCCGAGATCCGCTTTTAGCTCCGTTACCGCTCCCAATATTTTTTTATTTATTTATTTAATTACTTAACACATATCGAGTCCTAACTGTCTTGAAAATAAAATGACAGATATTACCCAGCCAGCAAAATATCCGAAAATGGATCCGAAAGAGGGAAAAAAGTGAATGAAAAGCAGATTTTTGTCCGTTTACGTTTCCTTTTTCGGATATTTTGATAATCTGTTTTTCACTAAAGTGTGCGGCAGAAATGTATGTACAAACAAAAAAATACAATTACTGCTTTGAAATAATATGATCTTTTTAGAACATTTCAAGCATTTTCCGGATACGAAAATGAATAAAAATTGTAGTCATTTTCTGTTCGTTTCCTGGTACGAAAAGCGTATTTTTTAACGTTTTTGGATACGTAAAGTCATTGTTTTTTCATCGCCATTCTAATTGACGAGGCAATTATCCCTAATCGCTGGCCATTGCGCAGTGAACAGTATTGCCAAATAAAAATAGAATGACAATTTATTTAACAGTGACAAAAATAAAAAAATAAATAAGTTTAATTTTCTTTAAGGAGCTAAGAAGAAATTATTTATTTGATAAAATTGAATCGGTGAGCTCGACAACCTTACAAGTACAAAATTTGGTATTTTAAAGTAAGATAGCCATTTTGTTTAAAATTTGTCTCTTCATCGACTGAGCTAGATACTTAATGAGGAATGAGTAGATAAATCGTACATGTCCGTGACTCTTAGGTTTTTGATCTCAACAACTAAATAGTACCACTAAAGTTAGTACAGTAGACGCTCACAAATTAGAACTCTTAGTAATTAGAATTTCCAGAAACTAGAATCAACTTTTTGAATACATTACACGCTCTGAAATTAGAATCGAAAATTCTAATTTCAGAGCGTATTTTGTTTTTTTGTTGCAAAATAGATATAAAAAGGGGAATCCCCAATTTATTCATGTTACGCTCGGTAGTCGTTGGATTTTCGTCGCTATCTGTACAGTTTTTGTTAGTTTTTGTTTGAAATTCGATTCGCGTGCACGTGTTTCGGCATTGTTTGCTTAAAAGTAAAAGTCGTTCGTTGAAATGCCAAATAAACGTAAGAAAAATACTTTGTCTTTGGAAACCAAAGTGCAGATCTTGGAAAAGCTTGACCAAGGTATTCAAGGGAAGCGGTTAGCCCTAGAATTTGATGTGGCGCCATCTGCAATCACCTATATCAAATCTATGAAATCATCAATTTTAAGCGCTGTTTCTAATACCTATCATAAGGCTAACAAAAAATCATTGCATATCGCTGAATATCCAAAAATGGAAGCAAGTCTTTATAAGTGGTTTTTAAATCAACGCGAAAAAAAGTGTACATTAACTGGGCCAATACTAAAGGAGAAAGCCAAACAAATATTCAAAGTGGAATATCCCGATAAAGATGAAAGTACATTTAGCGCAAGTGATGGATGGTTTAGCAAATTTAAAAAACGACACGTAATGTAGATGAAACCGGATTATTTTACCGTTGTTTACCTGACAAAACATACGTCTCTCTTTTCGAGAAAACCGCCCCCGGGTATAAAATCCAGAAGGAACGAATTTCAGTGTTACTTGGTGTAAATGCTGATGGATCACATAAATTAATGCCATTAGTAATTGGAAAAGCAAAAAAACCAAGAAGTTTCCAAGGATTCAATAATCCACTCCATTACAACTTTTCAAAAAATGCTTGGATGACATCTCGGATTTTTCATGATTGGTTTCACAAGATATTTATTCATGAGGTAAGAAAAAACTTTGTTTTTAGGTTCAGTAATTCCAAAATATTTTCAATTCACAGGTGATTCGTTTCTCTCAGGAAAATAATTTGCCTCCGAAGGCAATTTTGCTAATTGACAACTGCTCTGCTCATGCACCAATTGAGAAACTTCAAAGCGACGATGGAAATATAATTGCATTTTTCTTTCCACCAAATGTAACAGCAACTTTACAACCAATGGATCAGAATCCTATTAAGTTAACCAAGCTAAACTACAGAAGTATGGTTCTTTCTCAATTAATTGCTGAAGGAGGTGACCTCAAGGTTCGCTTGAAATCCTTTTCAATTCGAAATGCAATCATGCTATTAAAGCAAGCTTGGTATGATGTTCCAGAAAGAGTAATAAAAAAGTCCTGGTCAAAGTTGAACAACTGGGACTCTGATCAGTATGAAAGTGATGACGATGATGTGCCACTAGCACAGCTACTGCAAAAAGATCAAGACTGCAATGGAGCTCTTCAGGCAGCTCAAGCACTTTTAACAGAAATAGAGCCAACTAATAACATTAGCATACCAGAAATTGAAATATGGAACAATGATGTGCTTGATGACGACCCTGCACATGATCTCAATAGCGATGATGAGTCTTCAGGTAGCAGCGAATTTGATGACCGGGAGGTCTTACCAGTTGTCTCTACTTCTACAGCCATTGAAAGCGTCAATAATTTAATAAAATGGTGTACTTATAGTGAATCGTTTTCCGCAAAGCACACAAGCAATCTGCTAGCTCTTCGCAATGAGATTGTTATTGCAGAAACAAATAAAAGGAAGAAGCAAACAGCAATAACAGACTACATGCCTGCAAATTAGTTACGAAGTTTTTGATTAATTTTTGGCTGTTTTAATGTATATTTATCGATCTCTTATGTATTTTTGATAAAAAAAAATATATTTACTGTAATTGGAGTTTTTGTTTTTTGGACCTTTTTTTGACTTAGCGCATAAATACATATATGTATATTGGATTGTTACCTTATGTTTTCTCGTTTTTATGAATAAAATTTAGTAAGACAAAATTTCATTGTAGTTTTTCAATGCAAATTGACTTAAATTTTAAGGTTTTATTGAAATAAAAAACGTCCAGGAATTAGAATTTTTCAGAAATTAGAATCACCCTAAAAACAAAGTGGTTCTAATTTGTGAGCGTCTACTGTACCACTATATAAATATATAAAACAAACAACCAAGCAAGCGGCGCTTCCTCTCAGCATTAGAATTTCCACAAAATCTATAATTATTTGCCAATTAGAAACCATTCGTTTTTGACTTAATATTCAGCCCCATTGCGCAAGTCGTAAATTAGGCAAAACTGTACGACTCGATAACATTGGCATTGTCTACTGTCGTGCTGAAATAAATAAACGACGAAAATCATCGGAAACTATTTATATAGTGCTGCCACTAGCACTTTCAGGTTTTTCAAACCGAACTCTTTTTATTGTAATAACCGAACCAGAAACGTTGACAAGGACATGCTAGTTATTTTGTTTTCGATTGTGAAATCGATAAAATTGTATTCGGTAACACCTAATATCGATTCGACGATTGAGATTCCCAGGAGCTGATTGGGTAGCATTGAAAAAGATCTGTGGGTAAATAAATCCTTTAGCCCGTAAATTGCCCTCTAAGGACCGGTACAGAAAGTTCTCCAAATTAAAAAACGCCCATTAAGTGCATACGATAACTTTTTTTATATTTTTGTTTTAATTAATATAAAACTACATGTTTATAGTGATAATACGAAAAGAAATTGTGTCAATTTATTCGTTGCTGTCCATACGCCCGAACTTTTCTGGAGAGACCTGACATCAAGTTGTGTACAGCGGTTTTGTCCACTTTTAGCGATGCTGTCCGCCACATTCTTTTTATTTCTGAAATAGTTTTTGTTGGTTTCCCCATTTTTAAAAGTTTGGCTTTCATCAGAGCCCAATATCGCTCAATTGGTCGCAACTCAGGCACATTAGGTGGATTCAAGTCTTTCCTCACGTAATGCACATTGTTATCTTCGAACCACTTTTGGGTGATATTAGCGTAATGTGCTGGAGCCAAATCCGGCCAAAACATAATTTGGCCATTATGATGACGTAGGAAGGGCAGAAGACGTTTTTGAAGACACTCTTTCACGTAAATTTCAGTGTTGATGGTTCCCATAGTGAAGAATGGCGTGGATTTATGCCCGCATTCACATATGGCTTGCCAAATTAGAACTTTTTTACCAAACTTTTCTATCTGGATAGTTTTTTCCGAATCAGAAATGTCTTCTCCAGACTCCAGGCAGTAAAATTGGTTACCCGGCAATGTCCTGAAGTCCATTTTCAAATAAGTTTCGTCGTCCATAATCACACAAAAATTTTTGTTGGCAGTTGTGTCTCATACAACTTACGTGCAAGGGAAACACTTTTTGAAGTTTGTTTTTCGCTCCGTTTTGGAACTTTTTTCTTTTTGTAAGTTTTGATACCATTTCTTTTATTGATTCGAGTGACCTGCACATGCGTGGTTTTAGCTCTTATGGCGATATCTCTTATTGACATGGAGCGGTTCTTCCTAATTATGGCTATTACCTTCTTCTCCAACTGGGCGTCTGCTGATCCATTTGGGCGGCCACTTCTCGGCTTGTCCTTCACTGAGCCACCTTTCTGTCATAAGTTGATCCAGTGAGTTTCGCCAACTTTTTGTAACTAATATTGGGATTTTTCGTCCAAATGTACAGCATTTTTTTGCGGAGCTCTTCGTTCGTATTCATTTTTTTCCTTGGCAATGCTTTGACTGCAGAAACTAACATAGTTTTGAAAATGTAATGAAACACCAGTTTGAATGCAATTTATTCAGAGCCTATTATGTCATTGCTAAACATTTTGTAGCGGGTTTAAAATTTGCAGAACTTTCTGTACCAGTCCTTATATCTAGGAAAAACCGTATATATTTTTAATTTAGTTTTTACCCATCAGTTGTGTGCTGAATGGTGCGTGTTTGCTCGTTCACCCTCTACCACTGGGTATTACATTTTTGCATTTACTGGCAATATTTCCTTTTCACTTTTATTTGATTGCATATCCTGCTCCCCTCCTAAGTGTTCGCCATGCCAGCAGCTGTTTTGCCGCCACATTGTGGTTGCTAAATGAGTTCCACAATTAATTTAGCTTGGAGGTGAAAGCGTACTTACGCCAATTACCGTTGGGTGAGTGCAACGAGCCTTACACGCAATTCTTTTGAATTATAGTGAATGGTTGTGTGTGTTTGTATATTTGTTAGTTGCATGCACATGGAAAACGCTTAACAGGAAATTTAATTTTTCCACGCTTATTGTTGAATAATTAAAAATGCAGTGAAATGTCAGAAGTCATCCTTTGGTGCTAATGAAATCCGATTAAATTATGTTGCTGTGAGGCGGAAAACATCATAAATATACTTACTTTGATTAATGTCTACTAATGTAGGTAAGTATGTGCAAATATTTAGTGCAAACAAAGAGCTTTTACCGATAAATATTTGTATGCATTAGTATAACTATAGCAGGTGGATTAAACGATTACAATTTATTTCCTGCAGATACTGACTAAAAACTAATAAATTACAGATACGCAGCATGTGTTTGGCTTATTTGAATACGCATGCTGGTACGTAAATATTTATATACATAAGTGCATATATTTAAATGATTATAATAATTTCAGGAACTTTTTGATTTAATTTTATTTTTAGGTAAACAATCCATACAAATCCCTAGTTCAGCGTTTTATAAATATTTGTTCATAATTTCCCAAAACTTGGAGTATCTATCTATCTATGTACATTGTACACATATACTAGGGCTGGGACTATCCGCATATTCGAATATCCGGATATCCAGGCGGATTATCCCATGACACGGATAAAATCCGGATAGTATGGATATCCGGTAAATATTCATTTGCGCAATTATTCGGATATACGGATGTACGAAGAACCGGTTATAATTCGTATTTTCGGATATCCAAAAAAAATCAAAAAAATTAGGTAATTCACTATGAACAAAAGTATCGTAGCAGCTTTCATTACTCAGGCCATGATATTTTAAAGCCATGAAGAAACTCTCGCGGTCAATTTTATACCTTTTTTAATTTTTACGAAACGATATTTTCATTTCACAATACCAGGCGCTCATAAATATGAAGTAGCAAGTTTTCAGTACGCATAAATTTGTTTGTAGATATTTTTAATTCTTTTCTAGGAGCCTTTGAAACTCGTAACGAAAATATCGTTTTATAAAATAAAAACTGTCCATAAGAGTAGCCGCAGGAAAATGGACACATTTTATTAATTTATTTGCCCTATTTTGCATTTCATTAATATCAAATATTCGGAGACCTAAAGAAAAATCCGGATATTCGGATATCCGAATATTATCTTAGCTTCGGGAATATCCGGATTTTTCGTTTAGTTCTCCGGATATTAGAATATTCGGTTTATCCGTATATTTGGAAAATCCGCATGAAACCACCAGCCCTAACATATACGTGCCATTAAAATATTCAATGTGGCCATAACGTGCCAACCAGGAATCATGAATTATCACCGTTCTTGGAGACATTAATTGACACATAAATCGTATGAGAATTTTTAAAATAACGAATTAATCATCTCTTAAATGTCTCTGTGTACCTTACGTGGAAAGTAGTAAGGACTCACATTGGGGATGTTCCGATATAAGTAAATATGAGTATGTACTCGATACTTTTGTTTCAATACCAAGTACTCCGTTTACTCGAATCGTTGTATCGATACCTACTTAGTATCGAAATAAAAGTACTTGTATCGGATCGATTTGAGCAAGTGCCATATCTTGTCGGCCATATTTTTTGTATGGAAAATAAGTGCTTCGTTTTTATGTAAAATAATTGCTTTCAGCAATGGCACCGCCAAAATCTAAAGTGGGGATATATTTTTACAAAGTTAATGACACTACAGCAAAGTGCAAGCAATGCTTTGTAGCCGTAAAGTTTTGTGGGAACCTTTCAAAGGTTTAATTTTTTGTGTCTAAGTAATCGTATTACTTCTAGTGTTACTAATGATCAAATAAACATATCGATACCTCAACTGAAAATATATTGAAAATATTTGAGATAGGGCGTTTTGAATCGGCAGCTGAGATAGGGCGTTTTTGCATCGAAATGCGAAAGAGGGTGTTCTTGAAATGTTGTCTGATATAAGGCGTTTTTCAATCAAATTCTGAAATAGGGTGCCTTTGAAAAGTTTTCTGACTGACTGCCGAGATAGGTCTATCTTCCACTCAGGTGTCGCAAAAGGTATGTCACAGATAACGCCGGAAAATTACTCTCACTTTGTTGCATATAAAAGGATGAAAAGTTATCGATATAAGTAGGTATCGATACATTCGGTTAACTCATATAAGTAGTATCGAAATGGTGATTTGAGTAAACTCATTTGAGTAGGTATCGATACTTTGATGGTATCGGAACGTCCCTAACTCACATGCATAGGTAGATGAAAATATTTGTCAACATACTTGCAAACGCCATCTTCTGCAGACAGCTAATATGTATGTGTGGAATTTGATTCGCAGTTTCCAAAATTTTAGTAATAGCATTTTTGGTCCAATTGGCTGATGGTCTTTCTAATTCGAATTATTCCAACTGCACTCTTGTTTCGACAAAGGTTTTAGTCCATATTGAATTACACTAGAACTCAATCAGCTGCATTTCAAAATCTTCCGTTTCCAACCAATAAAATTTGGACAAATTCAATTTATCAAGTGAAGTTACATCAGGATGCATAATAAAATTGAGTGTTTCCGATAACTCCTTGAGTTCAGAAAACCCCCATGAAAATTCTTCGATTTATTATCAAAGAAAATTCTTAGGTGCCCCTTGCTCCGTCTGATTTTTCATCTAAGTCCAAATCGGGCTTAAATTTTTTTAAGTTTAGGAAACATTTGTATTTTAGGAAATAATAGGCCCTATTATGATTGTCGACGTCGACCTCGATATAATTTTTTCATCCAAAAATAGCAAACGAAAGTTTAACTCCAGCTACTCTGATCATAATATTTTTGCTTGGAACACATTTTTGAATGAAAAAACAACATCGAGGTCGACGCGTCGACAACCATAATAGGGCCGAATATCTTCATCAAAAACTTTAAAAAGCGCGAATGAGATCTATCATACCACCATAAAGTTTGCAAGCCAGGTATAAGTCTCAAACCTTAGTTTATTAAATGCCTGCAAAGATAAATATGTGGCTCCCTATTTTCGGGAATATGCCTATTAAGGCGGCGAAACTATGCTTTAAACACAAAGCTTGTTGATGAATGATGCCCTGGAACTCAAGAATCGAATGTCTATTGTGGATTTTGTTGATTACTGTCTGTATTTTCGGCACTTCTGAGCTATATTGTTGGTTGTGAATAGATCTTGCTTAGGTGTCCAATATAAACGAAAAAAGAAACTGTTTCGATTAGGTAGTAGCTACTACTAGTAATTTAGGAATTGGGTCCTTAATTAACACCCTGTCCAAATTATTTTGTTGCGTGCCTTTGCTTCGCCAGCCCTGATATAGCAGGTTGAACGCGAAGTCAGCCTTCCAAAATTGACTGCTGTCTTCCTAGGCAAGGATAGTGAGCATGCAATTTATAAGCAAAAAAAAACGAGATTACCCTTTGGCAGGCAATGCAAACCCTCTAATTATATTTCCGCCGTAAAAAATCTTTGCATATAAAATATCGTGTCGATGCCTTTGGAAAATTTTGTAAAATGACAGATAGATCAAATACCGCTGATCGAAGGGTGGTTTTGACAAGCCATTGATGATCAGCTGTTCGGAAGCTGTGAGTGTCAACAGCAAGATGCCACCACAAATTGGAGAACTGTTTATTCAGTGTATGTTTAAAGATTTATTTCTTATACAAAATGAAATAAAAATGTTAAGAAAAAAGAATTATGAGAACGAACTTTGACTGTTGTATCATATACATAAGGTTTCAGTTAAAACAGATCTTTGAACCCTGTTCAGCTGCTCCACGTGGTGGCCTTGGCAGTGCGCTCCGTCATTAATGCTTCACCTACTTATTTGATTTGATACAGGGTGTCTAAGGACTTTACTTTAACTATCATTCGTAATTTGTCAGAATATTTAGCCATCCGATAATCGGTTATTTTTCAAAGTCTTCAACAACCGAAGCACATAGTGATATAAGATAAATGACAGTTGAAGTTGCA